TGGTGGGGCTGTTTGGCTGTTTACCTCCGTGAGGGGACTCAGGCTGTTGCCCAGGGGGTTAGTGCACCCGGTTTTCCCTGTAATTTCCAGCCACTGGGCTGTGACCTGTGTTGTATCAGTCCAGCTGTTATGTCCCTGTCCCTTTAAGACTTTCAGTAAGCACTCGCTTTTCTTTGTCACAGGGGCATCAGCTTCCAAACCTGCTCAGAGGTCTTGCTGCCATATTTCCCTAGTTTCAAGCCCTCCACGCATGCACTGTGTCTGCGCTCTGGTGCGGGTGGCTGGGGCTGGGTGTTTAGCAGTCCTGGGGTCCCTCTCCCTCCCACCGGGAGCTGGGGGGAGGTGTTCTTGGGTCCCACCAGCCGGGGGTTGTATTTTACCCCTTTCACCAGGCGCTGGGCTCTCGCACATGTGGATGTAGTCTGGCTGTTGTCCTGTGTCTTCTGGTCTCTCTTTTAGGATTAGTTGTATTTGTTGTATTTTTAAAAATATCTGTTTTTGGGAGGAGATTCCCACTGTCCTACTCACGCTGCCATGTTGGCTCCGCCTCTCATGCTGCCATCTTTAATCCAATTCCCCAAGTCATTTATAATATGGTAAAGTTGTATTAAAACAATTATTGTGGCCAGTGTTAACATACAAACTATAACAGCTCTGTCAGTTTTGTCTATTCACAGGCTGTTTATAATTTCAGTAGGATGCCACAGATGGTAAATAATGTATTAAATTTAAAGTTTGTCAACCCAGTAATGCACTTTGCCAGGTTTGGGTCAATTACAAATTTAACATAATTTATCAACCTGCATTTCAAATTTGGCATGGAATGTAACATATGCCACAACACCAACCACTTTGAATTATTATTACTTTGGGTCAGGTTGCCAACTAAGCCAATTGTTTTGTTTTGGGACAAATTAATGCTCAGAGACTGAGTTTGCCTTTGCCATTAACTCATTTAACACAGGTTTGCTATGGGAATTTTATAAGCCAATAGCACACAGGCTAATATTTCTTAATAAACCAATAAAGAAATAACATACTCCAAGCCAATGATAGATTAATCACACTATTTTTCCAGGCAAGGGGAGGTGAAAGGAATAAAGCTCAAGTTTAGCTGAAATGTTCCTTTTTACCAGCTGGTGCTCAGAGGAGAGATGGCTTAGCTAACCAAAAGCAGACGTCCAGTTGCCAGTGCAAAAGTAAAAGCCGCTTTTGCTAGAGCATATTGCTAGGGAACTGTGGTGCCAGTGTTGACAGGCAAGAGGATCTTCACTGAGGCCACTGCCTGGCTTTCATCACGGCTGGTAAAGAGTTGCCTTTACTGTGGCAGAAGCTAATATCCCAATGTCTTTGGAGACCTATTTAGAGCAGCAAAATGTAGCCTTGTCCAGACTGAACACTCTTAATCCTCACAAACTCTTGGTATTTACAGTCTAAATGTCCCCATGCCATAGTTGCTTTTTCATTTGATTTTACTTGCAAGGCCTCCCTCAGGGCCTCTCAGCGCCTGAGCTACTGAGTTCTAATCAGTGAGAATAGATGAGAAGATGCTATCCTGACACATCCTTCATTCTTATATCAAAACAACTTAACTTCTAACAACACCTTTGTTGGTCTTTGTCAAAGGCGAGTGGATTTGAAATCATATTAAAGCCAATGCATAACACCTGTGCTTCTGATCTACCAGCTATAGATAGGAGGTTTCAATGACCCACCCTTCTTGGGTTTCGTTTGCTAGAGCAGCTCACAGACCTCAGAGAAACATTTTACTTACTAGGTTACCAATTCATTATAAAAGGATATAACTCAGGAGCAGCCAGCTAGAAGAGATGCATAGGACAAGGTGTGGGGAAAGGGACTAGAGCTTCCATGCCCTGTTCAAGTGTGCCATTCTTCCCAAATCTCCATGTGTTCACCAACCTGGAAACTCTCTGAACTCCACCCTTTTGGGTTTTTATGGAGGCATGCTTGATTATATCATTGGCCATTGGTGATTGAACTCAATCTCCAGCCACTCTCCCCTCCCAGGAAGTGGGGGGTGGGACTGAAAGTTCCAACCCTCTAATCATATGGTTGGCTCTGCTAGTAACCAATCCCCATGCTTAGGTACTTTCCAAAAATCACCTCATTAATGTCGCAGGAGACTTTTATTGCTCTCATCACTTAGGAAATTTCAAGAGATTTTAGGAGCTCTGTGCCAGAAATGGGTTGAAGATCAAATATATATTTATTATAAATCTCAAGCTTTGAAAATCTTCTGAGAGTGGTTCTCCTAAGTGTGGAGCCCCATTAAGTGCCCCCAGAATACCCAGAGAGGAGAAGCGTTGCCTACAGCAACTGCTGAAGGAGTCAGAGCCTTGGCACTTTCAGTACTGGGCCTGAGAGAAAGACACTTTGCGTGGCAGTGTGATTTTTGCAAGTACTTGAATATGTTTTTGGTATTTGTCCTTATTGTTCTGTAAAAATGAATGAAAAACAAAAAACTTTTGCTGAAACAAGTGATAATACAACTGAGGCAAAGTTAGAAATCTTTATAGTTGCTGAAATCAGCAACCAGAATCAGCAATGTTAGCCTCAAGCCTTGCTTACTTATGAAATCCAAAATTAAAGATTACGTACAAAATGTTATACCATTCAAGATCCTAAAAGACGGGGCATGCTGAAGATAGAGGAAGTGAAAAGATCTTTAAATTTTGGGATGAAGGGGGATCATCAAAAAATTATTTTTGTGGTTTTAAACACAGAGAAATTCACAGATCCACAGAACTGATGACAGAGTGCTGTTTGCTACAGACCCTTAACACAAGAGGGAGAAAGCTATTGCTCAACTTGGCCTTGAGAGTCTTTGCAAAAAGTAGGTAAGTCAACCTCAAAGCCAGCAATCATAAGCTTTGCCCCATTCCTTGCAAGGGCACCATTTATGCTCTAATTCCTTTCTTCTGTTTTCATAAATTGAGCTAAAATTTTTGTTTAAACAAAGATTTGATATTGCCTATATTAGCCATTTAACTTACATTTTAAGTGTTTTAAACAACTATCATATACATACTTAATATATCACAGTTAGGAGTTTTGTCACATATTTTAATCTTCTAAGTCTATTCCTGGGCTTTGGTCCATTGGACTTTTTTCATATTTTTGAGAAACATTAATTTATGCACAACTGTGGAATAATTAAAACACACAGAAAATTACAGAAAATAAATAACAACCACTCCTTTATCTACCCCTTTCCGATTTAACGAATGTTAAAATATCAAGTGTTGAATGTTAAATTTAAATTTAACAAATGTTGGAAGTTCCCTCCCCACCCCACCAGAGGCAATCCCTCTTCTCAGGTGATCCCTAATATTCATAAATTGGTTTCACCTGTTCATATGAAAGGACTCATACACTATGCAATCTGGTGTCGGGTTTCTTTCTCTATGACACCAGAGATTCACTCATGCTGTTACATGTATCAGTAGTCTGTTCTGCTTTATTGCTGACTACTAAGCACTTGTCAGTTCGGTTTTCCATTCTCTTCTTGATGAGGTCTGCTTTTTTAACACCCTCATACATGCACCCCCTGCCCCACTGCTCTCTGAGGTGGTGGTCTGCCTCTCTCCAGGCTCACATCCATGTAGCAGGGACATCTACTCTGTAGCCCTCTTCTGAGCCTTCCATTCATATGCAGCCTGTTTCTGAGGACCCAGGGTGTCAACTGGGTCTCAAGGTCTTGGGGAAGGTGGTCTTCTATGACACCAGATCCTGGAGAGGAAGACAGACCCCTAGAGGTGGTGGGAGAGTTTGGGGGATTTTCCCCAAGAGTATCTTTGACCTCTTGCTCCTGCCTCTGTTTTCTGATTAACCAAGGACTTCCTCATTGTACCCTTCCTTCTGCCACTTCAAGGCTGTGAGTCATTATTTTAACTCTCCCCCACAAGACACCAAGAGCCCTACAGTGTTTTTCACTCAGCCTTCCACTTCTTCAATACGCTACAGAGTGATGGCCTTTGGAGTTTCGCTCCTCCTGGGTGGTGAGTAAGGGCCCTCGAGGCTGGGAGAAGCCTTGCAGTGGTAGGTGGTGTCTCTGTCCTGTAGGGCAGGTTGGGACGGGTGCTCAGTTCGTAGGGCTCCCAGGAGGAGCTGAAGGCAGGGCAGGGATCTAGTGTTCTGAGACTGGTGTGGAAGGAAGAAAGGCTTGGAATCTGGGGGGGGGGGGACATCACCTGAGCAAAGGTGAGTGAAGATGGGCTTTTAGGTTATGCTGCCTCCTCACACTCCCCAAGGCTTTCCCCTTTCACCCATGGGGGCCCTGGTGTGCGTATGGTGTAGATAAGAGGAGTCTTCCCCAGCACCCCAGGGGCCACAGAAGGCACAAGGGAGGAAAAATGTTGGGAATAATCTCCTTGTTCCAGCATTTTCCCCAAGTCTTGATCTCAGGTAGGCTGTCCCGTTGCTGCAAAGAGAATAGTTCAGAAGTTGAAAACTGTATCATGATATTTGTGTGTCATTTAAAAATCAAATTTCATACAAAAATCCAGATTTTCAGCTTCTCTTGAGAAATGGGAAGGTTTGGTAGCTCTGGGGACTAGAGTCTAGTAATGGCTTCCCCCTTTAGAAGGGTCACAAGATCTAAGTTCCTGTTGTTCCCTGATTCTTACACCCACTCACTTCACTCACTGATGTCACCTACTGGCCCCAAGGCGCTTAAGTCTGAGACCCTTGGAATCCTGCTACTTGTCAGATGATAGGAGCTGCTTTCAGACTCAGAAACAGAACTATTCTTTGAGAAGAAGATGTAAAACAAAAGGCCTCCTTGCACGTGGCTGTAGTAGTGTCCCAGCACCCTAAACATCTGGTCTCTTCCCAGAACCCTGGGGTTCAGGTGTGTGGACCTTCCCTGGCGCTGTGCGGCCTGATGCTTTAATACTTAAAGCTTCCCTATTCTTGGGGATGGGGTCGACTCCTCAATCCAGAGATAGCTGGGTATTCCAGGAGGAATGGGGTCGGGGGAGGTGGCCACTTGGGAGTGGAGGAATCTAGAAAAGCCTTTGAAATGTAGGGAGTCTTTCACTGAGGCTGGTCAAGGATCAAGAGAGCGCATTGAACTCCTGGCTGTGCCAGTGACTTGTTGTGCGGTTCTGGGTCAGTCAATAAATAGTAATTAGTCACCAGCTGAGGGCCAGGCACTGCGCCAGGCACCCAGGCAAGACAGCGCAGTCCTTGCCTTCTTACGGTCTGGTGCCAAGGGAGGGGGATGTGGGAAACACATAATTACAAATAATTAATCACAGATTTCTAAGTGTGTTCCCCAACCTGGACCTTAGGGTCTCTCTATAATGAGAAGATATAACAGAACAGTCCTTAAGAAGGGCAACTATGTGCTCTGGTTTGCAGGGTCAGTCCCAGTGTCCCTGGTGTAATTAATTAATTAATTAATTATTTCTGTATTATTAATGTACATTTACATGAGCAACATTATGGTTACTAGACTCCCCCTATTATCAAGTCCCCACCACATACCCCATTACAGTCACTGTCCATCAACGTAGTAAGATGCTATAGAATTTGTCTTCTCTGAGATATACTGCCTTCCCCATGCCCCCCCCAACATTATGTGTGCTAATCAAAATGCCCCTTTTCCCCCTTCTCCCTCCCTTCCCACCCATCCTCCCCAGTCCCTTTCCCTTTGGTAACTGTTAGTCCATTCTTGGGTTCTGTGAGTCTGATGCTGTTTTGTTCCTTCAGTTTTTGCTTTGTTCTTACACTCCACAGATGAGTGAAATAATCTGATACTTGTCTTTCTCCGCCTGGCTTATTTCACTGAGCATAATACCCTCTAGCTCCATCCATGTTGTTGCAAATGGTAGGATTTGTTTTCTTCTTATGGCTGAATAATATTCCATTGTGTATATGTACCACATCTTCTTTATCCATTCATCTACTGATGGACACTTAGGTTGCCTCCATTTCTTGGCTATTGTAAATAGTGCTGC